CTGTCTGCGTGGGGGCGGGGTGGGCGGCGGCGGGGGGGGGCCGGGGCCGGGGGGGGGGGGGGGGGCGGGTGGGGGGGGGGGGGGGGGGGGGGGGGGGGGGGGGGGGAGTCCAAATTTCTGCCCCTTAACACTTCAACACTCCTTTCAGATCGTGTTTCACAAAACAAAAAATAAATCAAATTTGCTTTTGTTTTTGTAGTTTACTCTCTTATTGCACGATTTTCTATGAATTGATCATTAGTCATAATTGATGTATGATGTGAATTAAATAAACAAATCATCACTTGTCGAATACTTACTCTATGAATATTAGTTAAGGATTAATTTAATGGAACTTGTGAAGAAACATTTGAAAATTTTTTTCTTTTAGCAGACGATGATGAAACAATTGATAGTGGATGAAGGTTTAACACAAGCTAGATTAACAAAAAATACATTCAGACAATATATATAAGAGGAACTAAAATATAGTTTTTAGTTCAATTTTGTGACATTCTTTTAGTCTCTCAATTTAAGTGCACATAACGAGGTATTCGTTACATACAGTCTGTGTAGTTATCGAATTTATTACTTTATACTTCATCGTTTTTTTTGTGCTCTAAAGATCATTTGCCTATTAATGTCGAGACATAATATTTCTACGGGTATTAGTAAAAGACGCTAACACTCAACTTTTTCAACTGAGGGCCTGGCTACTACTCTACAAGGTAGAGGTCTAGTGCCTCACTCTACAAACACCCACTAACATCCGTTTATCCATTTTCTTAATGGGAATCGGGGAGGTCTGTTGCACACTAACATCGCCTAACATTCACTAACACCCACTAACACCTACTAAAACCACAGTAACAGCACACTAACACCCACCATCATACTGTAGTAGTCATTAGCACCACAGCCGAGTTCTTTTCCGCATTCCCTGGTCAACTTCATTTTCTCAATATTTGACCTTTAACCTTTGATCCCGGTAGCAGGGATGAGCTGAAAATTTTATATTGAGATTTAGAGAAAATTTGTTATCCAAAATCTAATTAGTAGTTACTACAGTATGCTGGTGAGTGTTAGTGTGCTGTTACTGTGGTTTTAGTAGGTGTTAGTGGGTGTTAGTGGATGTTAGGTGGTGTTAGTGTGTAACAGATCTCCTCGATTCCCATTAAGAAAATGGATTAACGGGTGTTAGTGGGTGTTTGTAGAGTGAGGCACTAGACCTCTACCTTGTGGAGTGGTAGCCAGGCCCTCAGTTGAAAAAGTTGGGTGTAAGTGGGTGTTAGCGTCTTTTACTAATACCCATATTTCTACTGGTTAAGACTGTCGACATTCGCTAAATCATTTTTCTGTTGCTATGAAATTCTTATATTGAAAATTTCTTTATGTAAGTTAAACCCATCGAGAAACCTTAACTATAACGTTTCCATGTAAAGTTTTGTCCACAGAGAAGTTTTAGATCTAATATAACATGTTAGAGATATTAGCTCAACTAATGAATGAAAAAGATTAAGAATTGGAATTTTTCTTACAATAAATATTCACTATTGAAAAAGACAATTATCTCTTGTGTACATTGAATTGTTTTTATTTTCTAAACATTGAATGTTGATTTAAGATAAATAAATATTTCTTCCAAATCTTTTTACAAAATCTTCTATAGAAATAAAACTTAAAACTGATTTCATACGGATGAATATAGTTGAAAGTAAATGTACAAAACGATAATTTCCAAAATAATTTAATAAAATTTAATGTATGTTATACGATGAAAGTATTCATTCGAACAATTTCATCATAGATAGATTATTTCCAAAAATATCTAATTCTCTATGCTTAACTTTTGTTATCTTTGTTTGTATTTGCTATACTTGATGCTGTTGATGAATCTTTGCTAGATGTTATTGAATTTTTATTATTAATATTATTTGAATCTATTTTTATTTTCTTTGAAAAAGAAGAAAAACAAAATGAAATCGTTCATATGTTCTGAAAATTTTATATGAACGTCAAGTATTCTTTCATAAGAGACATAATCAAAGATATTCTTTAAATCTAAGACTATGGAATTGTTTTCTGTTGTAACAACTGACATATCAACTATAGAGAATTATCTTCTGCTCAAAAACATAATGATCGTAAATATTTTTGCTATGATTGAAGAACAGTAATAAAATAGTTCAATTCTCAAATAGCTTGTATCAATTGTGCTACTTTTAAAACATTTTTTTATTCGTTGAGGTGATCTGCGACTACGAATAACTGGAAAATTTATTTTTGATGTTTGTCAATTTGATAGAATAGTATCTTCAACAACAGAAGCAAACATAAATCTAATCCTATAAAAAGAAAAACATTTAAATAGATGTTCTTCTGAAAAAACCAACAAATATATTTACTTGATTAAAAAATGAAATTTGTTTTCTGTTGATTGAATATCATTCTTATCATTTGCCTCATTTGATAATTCTTCAAATAAGAAGAAAAAAATTCAGAAAAATAATAAAGATGTTTTTATTTTTACCAGAAAAGTTTAAATTAATAATATGGGATAATATATTATAAATGGGTGTTTAAAAAAAACGTATAAGTAAATGAAGTTCATCAAATTGATTCTAAATATCTAACGTTGAAAATTAAAAAAAACAATAATTAAGCTAAACGATCAAATATTAAAGTTGATAAACGTGATATTGTTTCATATTGTAGCTAATCATTTGATATAATTACAAAAGTATTTGATTCTTGCGATGAATAATAAATTTTTTATATGAATTGAGAAGAAGAATTAATCTATCTCGTTAAATAAAGTATTGGCTATTGATAATCGAAAAAAGAACTATGATCAAAAAAACTTAAAATCAAAACATAGTTAATCAATAAGACATTGTAATAAAATCGACTTATGTATTCAATTGTCAATAAAAATAAAGGACGGGGGGCGATTTCTACAGAAATCGGCCCAATTGAATTTCAATGATCTGCTCGGGTAGAAACAAAGGAAATGATGGTAGAAAGTATACCTTATGGTTTTCAAATGATTTTGCTAGGTATTTATAAGTTCAGGATCCGATTACTTC